AAAAGCCTGACATTTACTGCATCCTTCCCTTTTGGCAAAAAGTGTTATAAGTCACTGTGCTCTCTCAAGCCTCATTTTGGCTGCAAATCATCTTCTCTAAAACCACGTATGTAGATCTTTAAGATTAGTTGTCCCAAATTCAATAACCACCACCACTTAAAATAAGAAGGTATTTTTTAAAGACATAGTAGTCGAAACTTGCATTCTAGTAGTAACTCTTATCTTTATGTAATATCTTTATGATATTACATAAAGATAAAAGGATCAATGTAACAAGAAGAGCTAAAGATCCTAAACATATATGCACCCAATACAGAAATACCCAGATATAAATCCCAGCACTTTGGGAGGCCGAGGCGGCCGGATCACCTAAGGTCAGGAGGTCAAGACCAGCCTGGCCAACATGGTGAAACTGTCTCTACTAAAAATAAAAAAACGAGCCAGGTGTGGTGGTGGACACCTGTAATCCCAGCTGCTCAGGAGGTTGAGGCAAGAGCATCACTTGAACCTGGGGGGTGGAAGTTGCAGTGAGCCAAGATAGCGCCATTCTACTTCAGCCTGGTGACAGAACAAGACTGTCTCCAAAAAAAAACAAAAACAACAAAACAAAACAAAAATCACAAGATGAGTTTTTTTTAACTTTTTTTTTTTTAAGCTTATCAGCTAATATTAGTGTTAGTGTATTCTGTGTGTGGTTCAAGACAATTCTTCTTCTTCCAATGTGGCCCAGGGAAGCCAAAAGATTGGACACCTCTGTCTAGCGAAAGGATTCCAAAAGCATGTTCTGTATAAAACTTGCAAAGATATTCAAGGAATACTTGTTCAAATGCAAATTCCTGGTCCAGAGCTCAGGGATCAGTCTCTTGGGCTTTAGGCACTTTTAACAAGCAACCCAGGTGAATTTTATAATCCTTAAGTTTGTCAGCTCTAGCGCCTTGGTCTTCAAAATGACACATACATACCCTTGAGGATACACCAACATTTTCCCATGGGGTAAGGACACATGCATCACTATATGGAAACCAACTTAAAGACCTCCAATTTCCATATGTATTATCCTAAAATATGTGCTCTGATGAGGCCTCTTCATATCTACCATTTCTCTTTAATTCCCTTGTCACAACAGCCATACTCCTTATTCTAAAAAAAAAAAAAAAAAAAAACAGACTGCCTGTCAACCAACCAGTATCAACCAAGGGGCATTGCCTTGCTGTAAGCAGCTCCAGAGGCACTAAACAAAGGGGTCAAAAAAAAAAATCTAGGTTAACTCCAAAGAGGCAAAGAGGGTGGGGGATGGTAGCTCAGGACTATAATCCCAAGAGGCTGAGGCAGAAGGGTTGCCTGAACCTGAGTTTGGGACTAGCCTAGGCAACATGGCACAACACTATCGGAACACAAAAACACAAAAATCAGCTGGGCATGGTGGCATGCACCTATGGTCCCAGCTACTTGGGAGGCTGAGGTGGGAGGATTGCTTGGATCTGGGAGTTCAAGGCTGCAGCGAGCTGTGATTGTGCCAATGCACTCCAGCCTGGGCAACAAAGCAAGACCTTTTCTCAAAAAA